TGGGATTAAAGGCGTGCGCCACCACCGCCCGGCAATAATCACTTTCATGGTCAGCCTGCCCCATCCTACCCTCACTGGTAACCATAGGGAAAGGTAGTCCCGGGCTATCTTGGATAAAATGATGACGTGTAAAATGATGACAGTGGGAGCATTTCCTGTTCACTTAGATTTCCTACCGGGTCCTCTTGGGTTTTGGCTGTTTGTTTGGGTGTCTATTTATTTTATGTAAGGCTAGAGATGGAACCCAGGTATTCCACATGCTAGAAAACTGTTCTACCATTGATTGCCACACCTAACACCTTCATCTAGATTTAGAGTGGAAAAAAATATCACTGCAGTTCTAGCTGGTTTTGTAAACCAGGGTCTGATGGTACTTTCTAAGCACATGCATTTTGAGCTGGCCAGATGTCTCAGTGGGTAAAAGTGTTTGCCAGTCAAACCTGACAAACTGAACTCAATTCTTGGAATTGATATAAAAGCTGGATGCCAGGGCTGGTGAGATGGCTCAGTGGTTAAGGGCACTGACTGGTCTCCTAGAGGTCATGAGTTCAAATCCCAGCAACCACATGGTGGCTCACAACCATCTGCAATGAGATCTGATGCCCTTATATGGGTGTCTGAAGACAGCTACAGTGTACTTACATATAATAAATAAGTAAAACAATCTTTTTTTTAATTTTTTTTGGATGTTTTATTTACATTTCATATGTTGTCCCCTTACCCCATCCCCCACCCACCCAGGTAAATAAAACAATCTTAAAAAAAACTTAAAAAAAAAAAAGCTGGATGCCAGTGGCACCCATCTGTAATCCTAGCACCATAATGGTGAAATGAAAGGCTAAAACAGCCGGCAGTGGTGGCACACACCTTTAGTCCCAGCACTTGGGAGGCAGAGGCAGGCAGATTTCTGAGTTCGAGGCCAGCCTGGTCTACAGAGTGAGTTCCAGGACAGCCAGAGCTATACAGAGAAACCCTGTCTCAAAAAAAAAAAAAAGACTAAGACAATAGAATCATCTAGAAGTTTATAAGTAGCTAGTATAGGGCATGCTGTGTGGCCAAGACAAGAGAGACACAAGGTGGAAACAGAGAACCAACTCCCCAAAGTTGTCCTCTGGTTTCCATTTGCATGCTATGACAAATGGACACACCACCACCATCAGCATCATCACCTTCAATTTTTATCTTATTTTATGTACATGGGTGTTTTTTGCCTGCATATGTCTTTGTGTAAGGAGGCCATAAGAGGGCATTGGATTGATCCTCTAAAACTGGAGTTCCAGATGATTGTAAATTGCCAAGTGGACGCTGGAGATCAAAACTGAGTCTTCCAGAAGAGCAGAAAGTGCTTTTAGGCAGTGAGCCACCCCTCTAGCCCATAATAGTTATACGTTCTTTTAAAAAGAATTAAACATATGCAGTTATTCCTTTAAGCAATGGCCTTGGCTTCCAAGGTGCCTATACCAGTTCACCTCCCAATGCCAGAGAAATTGGCCTAAAGTACAGTTTTGAAATACCAGCCAGTGTTTCCCTTCTGAGCCCTAGCTGCTTTTTTGATCTTGTGATAAAGACCTACCTGAGAAAAACAACTTAAGGAAGTTTGTTTTGGCTCACAGTTCTGTTGGTACAATTCATCCTGGTAAGAAAGCATGGTAGCACAAACATAATGCAGCTGGTCACTTTGTGAGAAGAGAGGGAGGGAAGAGACAATGTTGGTACTCAGATCATTTTCTCCTTTTAATTCAGTTCAAGACCCCAGCCCATAGAATGGTGCCACCAACTTTCAAACTGGGTCTTCCCACCTCAGTTAGCCCAATCTAGATAATCCTTTGCAGACACACCAGAGGCTAATCTCCAAGGTGATTATAAATCACCCATCAAATTGACAATCAAGATTAGTCAACCCCTCAAAAACATAAACAAAGGATATAATTAATCCCCAAATCTCTTAACCTTTGATTTCCTTTGACTCTCCAAGGTTATCACCAAAGCTTGTGGCAAAAGTATTGGTTTTATTTCAGTTTCACTTTAAGAAGAAAACTGTTACCCACTACCTTTAGAAAGGGTGGTATGGGCACCTTAAAGAAAAATGAATAAAAGTTGTAATGAAGTAAAGCTTGTTTAAAGCAACTGATGCTCCCCTCAAGTGATTAAGAGAAGCTGGTTTAGACCAGCTGCCATACCTTACTAGACACCAGTCCCAAATGCCGACAGCACCCAGACAACTGACCTGTAGTCTACACCACAAGTGCTACAGAGTGCACCATATCCTCCTGAATCTCCAGGAGAAAGAAGAATTATGCTTGGTCCATTTATTAAGGTTATTTTCTGTATTCTAGTTGTGTGACTGCCTGTGCTTCAGGCTTTCTGATCTACTTGTCACAATGGCGTGCCAGATTATGCTTGCTGTTCTTTGGGTCTGAGCTTCCATTCAAGATGAACGAAGCCTTGCCTCTAGTTAGGACTGAGGTGTCAGGTCTGGAGAGATGGTTTAGCAGTTAAGAGCACTTGTTGTTCTTGCAGATGAGTAAGGTTTAGTTTCCAGAACCATGTATGGTGACTCACAACTTAATACATCCTTAACTCCAGTTCCAGAAAATTTAATGCCTTCTTGTGACCTCTGAGAGTACCAGGCACACATGTGGTACACACACACACACACACACACACACACATACACACAAAGGCAAAATACACATACAAGTAAATAAATCTTTTAAAAATTGTATGAAAAGACTGAAGTCTCAATACTCACCCAATTTTATGGATCATTTTTTTGTCTCTGTGTTCAAGAGCAAGTGTTTCCTTTGACCAGCTTTTCTATGGCTCACATTTTTACCATGATCCATGGGGCGATGCCTCAGTGAACAAGAGTGCTTGCCCTGCAAGCATGACAACTTGAGTTCAGATCTTCAAGACCCACATAAAGAGCCAGGAATGGTTGCACATGCCTGTAATCCCAGTGTTGAGGGGCAGATATAGGTGGATCCTAAGATGTGCTTATCCGGGAGATCTTTACATATGGGAGATCCCATTATATAGTCCTCTAAAGATTGGGTTGACCTTGGACACATGCCTTCATTTATTAGACTTTCAGTTTCCTCATAAAATGCACATAATAGCAGAACTCACTTCAACAGTGTTGTAGGCTAGTCATGGTGGCATATACCTGTAATCTCAATATTCAAATGGCAGAGACAGGAGGATTTTGAGTTCAAGGTTAGCTTGAGATACACAGCAAGACAGTTTCAAAAACAAACAAAAAAGAAAATAGAGGTGTTGTATTAATGAATATATCAGATTTAGTGGTTGGCTTGTAACAAACTCAGTAAATACAGCAAATATTATTGTCAACTACACCCAATAACTACACTGGCTGTTTTAATTAAACTGTCTGGTCAAGCAGAATATGTTGTTGCTGCTTGACCACTTCAGGAGCAGAGATTCTGAGAACAATCTCCAGCAATCTCCAGAACAATCCTTGGCACCATCAAGTTGGTCACTGGCGGAATTGTCTCCTAATGTTTCAGGGTCCTGCTGTAGGATTGCAGTTACCGTGATTCCCACCTACTCTGGTCTTAGCTGGGTTGGGGACTGCTTGCTGCTGCAGAGGGACTCTCTCTAACCTCCTTGTGCCCTCCACCAGCTGCATGAGAAGTTTGACCGTCTGAAGAAACTGCACCAGGAAGAGAAGAAGAAGCTGGAGGATAAGAAGAAATGTCTGGATGAGGAGATGAACGCCTTCAAGCAGAGAAAGGCGGCGGCTGAGCTGCTCCAGTCTCAGGGCTCTCAGGCTGGGGGCTCACAGACTCTGAAAAGAGACAAAGAGAAGAAGAAGTAAGTAGCAGGCTGCTGGTGTGTGTGTGTGTGTGTGTGTGTGTGTGTGTGTGTGTGTGTGTGTGTGTGTGTGTGAGAGAGAGAGAGAGAGAGAGAGAGAGAGAGAGAGAGAGAGAGAGAGATCTGTCTTTTCCTCCTCATCCCTACTCCCTCAATCCACTACATGGCACTTAGAAGCCAAGGGGATTGGCGGGCAGGTGTGAACTGCAGGCTGGCAGTTACACTGAGATAGTGTCCATTGTCCCTGTAACACCCAAGTTTGAGTTGCTAAGAGGAGAGTAGTGTTCCCAAAAGTGTAGCTTTTCTGTTTGTCCCAGCTGGGAAAGCTCTGCCAACGCCTGGCAAATAGTAAGGGAAGAGGGGCTAGAAAGTAGGAAGCAAACCAGGAAAAATCTAGAAAGATGAGAGCAACAAAAAGGATGGGCAGACCAAGATCATGGAAGGAAGACGGGATCTTTTAACAGAAGCTTTAGTACTTCCCCAGACCCTAGAGCAGTGGTTCTCAACCTGAGGTCTGAGACCCCAGCCAATCTTTTCACAGGGGTCACATATCAGATCTTCTGCATATCCAATATTTACAGTATGATTCATAACAGTAGCAAACTTCCAGTTCTGAATTAGCAGACAATGTTATGGTTGGGGGTCACCACAACATGATGAACTGTATTTAAGGGTTGAAGCAGTGAGAAGTTTGAAAAACATTGCCATGGATGTTCAATAACATGCAGCTTACAGGTTTGCTTGCTCCTCCCAAATCTGAGGGGAGGGGCCTACAGTCTAACCCTTCCTCTGCCTCAGTTCTCAAAAGATACAGCCTGTGGAAGGTAAATGCTACCAGCGAAGGCTGCACCCTGTGTCCCATCTCCCTTTCCTTTGCTATGCCTCTTTGTGGTGGCTACTTATTTATGCCCAGCTTGGGGTACTAAGAATCTAGAGGGGTCTTCAGATGCCAGTATCCCCTTCGTAGCACATTTTCAAGCTTGGGGAATGGCCCTAAAACCATTTTGTTTTTCTAAATGTTTGGTGAGTTAGTAGTTCTGCCTTACCCCCAGTCTCTGCTTGTGTAAATTACTCACTCCTCATTTCAGAGCCAGAGAAGAGGAAAATGTTTCTGGCAAGAAAATATTCGGAGGTTCCCTTTTGCTCTACAGTTGTTTGTGCAATAGGTTTCAGGGAACTCTAATACAGAGTGTTTAACAATAGCCTTTCTAGCAAGGCAATGGTGGCGCACGCCTTTAATCTCAGCACTTGGGAGGCAGAGGCAGGCAGATTTCTGAGTTCGAGGCCAGCCTGGTCTACAGAATGAGTTCCAGGACAGCCAGGGCTACACAGAGAAACTCTGTCTCAAAAAACAAAACAAAAAGGAACAACAACAAAAAAACAATAGCCTTTCTAAAGGATCCTTAAGGTTCCACGATACCCATGGTCATGACCTTCTATTTTGAGCCACTAGACTGAGTCAGCCACTGGATACTTCCCAGAAGAAAGAATGATCTTTTTGCCTCTGTCCTGGAATTCTCACTTAGGAATCACACCATGAATACAAACTATTTAATAATTCAAGGCATTGAGTTTTGCCATCTCATTATCCAATTTGACTACTTAATGAGTAATTTGAACATTTTCACCAACTTGGTCCAGAGATTTTTTTTTTCCCAGAAGAGAATCTTTTTTTTTTTTTTTTGTTTTTTCAAGACAGGGTTTCCCCCCCCAACAAAACAAAACAAAACAAAACACCAGGGTTTCTCTTTATAGCCCGGGCTGTCCTGGAACTCACTCTGTAGGCCAGACTGGCCTTGAACCAGAAGAGAATCTTAAAACTACATATTGGTGGGTGGTGATGGCCAGCATGGTCTACAAAGTGAGCTCCAGAACAGCCAGGACTGTTTTACAGAGAAACTGTCTCAAAAACTAAAAATCAACCAAACAACAAACCAACAAACAAAATCCCTACAATAACTTGGTTTTTTTTTCTTGTTTTGGGGTTTTTGGGTGTTTTTGGGGGGGGTTGGTTATTTTTTTTCTTGTTTGTTTGTTTGTTTTTGCTCCTAAAGTTTAACTAGCCAGATGGAAAACTTCTGTAGATCCACCGTCTATTAACTTATCAGTGATAGTATGCTAGTTATACTAGTGGAAAAGACTTCATACATTCCTTTTGGGAGTGGTATGGGTGGAGCCCTGAGCTCTACACATAGTAAACAAGAGTTCTACCACTCGGCATCCATGACCTTGGATTCCTCTTTAAAAGATCAGAAATATCTGGGGTTGGTGAAGGTGTCCTTTTCCAGTTCCGAGATGGGAGAAAACCTTGCTGGAACATGGCACCTTACACTAGCAATCAGAGCTAGCACAATAGCCTGTCCCCATCCACACTCTAATGGCCACAGGTCTGGGCACCTTATGCATCTCTATAAGCAATGTGTTAACCTTCTGGAAGAGGTCACTAAATTTATGCTACCCTGCTCCCATAGTGCTTTTGCTGGTGATGATTTGAGGAGGGTAGAGATTGGATTGTGGTAGAAATGGTTTTTTAGACAGCTTGTGGTTGGATCTGATCAAGTTCCAAATTCAGTATTTTCTCTGGATGCTCCTAAGGAGACTAAGGAAGAATGCCACTGTTTCAGGGGTGTCTACCAAGCCACCCACACCTGTTCCCTTTTCTGTTTCTCCTAATCGCCTTAGATTGCTAACATTTCATTATTGGTATTAATTCATAATATTGGATTTCTCCTCATGCTCAGTTCATCTTCACCAGTTCTTACTGTTTTACAGTTAACTCTGCTGTTTGCTGCATGCTGCATGACACCCAGGGTCCTGGTAAGCTTTATTAACTCTAAATAATACTGGCAGTGGCTTCTACAACATACCTCCCAAAACTCCACACTTGTAGCACTCATAGCTAACCGTAAAAGATTGGACCTGCTAATTTCCTCCTGAGACTTATAGTATGAAGATGTAATCTGACTGTGGTTTTAAGTGGAATGCCTACCTGCCTGCCTGATTTGAAGTGTGTGTGTGTGTGTGTGTGTGTGTGTGTGTGTTTGTGTGTGTGTGTGTTTTCTCAAGAGCATTTTCAGAGCTTTGCTGCTAGAACAACCGTGTTAGCATAGGTAGGCAGATCATGTGACCAACATGTAAAAGGTTTCAGTTCAGATATTTTTTTCCCATGAAGAAACATAATCATGACTTTCAAAATGAATTGTGATGAAATGGGAAACTGCTGGATTCACAGTCCCTACCTGCAATGTCACAGTCAGTATTGACCCACATCGCACCCCAAATTTAGGAATGTGCCAGGAAAAATTGCCTCTATGTCTCCCTCTAGTCCTTCTTGAGAGGTTCACCTTCGTTAATTTCTTTTGATTCTATGCCCTACCCTCCAAATATAAGCAAAGTAGAAAACAAGGAAGAGACTTCAGATAGTACAGGGAAACCGTTCCGTTTGGTTCTGTGAGGACTAGAGAGATGGCTCAGCAGGCTTTGGTGGTGGCGCTTACATTTCACCGAAATCCATTTAATCCTAGCAGCCTGAGGTCAATCCCTAGAACCCATAATAGTGGAAGGGTAGAAGCAACTCCAAAAGTTGTCCTCTGATCCCACTCCACCATGACATGTGTGCCTACAAACAACAATAATAAGTTAACTTTTAAAAATTGAATTCTGGCTGGGCGGTGGTGGCACACGCCTTTAATCCCAGCACTTGGGAGGCAGAGGCAGGCAGATTTCTGAGTTCGAGGCCAGCCTGGTCTACAGAGTGAGTTCCAGGACAGCCAGGGCTACACAGAGAAACCCTGTCTCTAAACACCAAAAAAAAAAAAATTAATTCTGGGTCTGGAGAAGTGGTTCAGAGTATTTAAGAACACATACTGTTTTTCCAAACAAGCTGAATTGTGTTCCCAGCACCCATACATTAGGTAGCCCACAACGGCCAGTAACTTTAGCACCTGTGTATCTGACAACTTCTTTTGGCTTTTGTGGGTACCTTCACACATACACACACACACACACACACACACACACACACACACTAAAACATTTAAAATGAAGTTCTGTAAGGAAGTGGAGCTTCATGAAAACCTCTGCTAAAGCAGGTAATTCTTAGTAAGGATCCCTGGGGAGTAGTGGTTGTGTCTACAGAAGTAAATAGAATTGGTCCCTGCTCTCACAGCTTTTACAGAGAGTGCAAACAGTCATCACAGGATGGATGAAAGCAGTGATTAAACATCTTTGTCTACTCGACCAAAATCAGGTAGTAAAGGGAAATTGAATGTAAATGCTTTTAACCACACACTTAGATTGATTTATTTTTAAAACTCTACCATGGAAACTTTCAAATGTGGATAAGAGAAGAGATAATAGTACAATTCAGCCCCATATTCCAGGAGCTCAGTCACCAAAGAATCATTGACATACCGCTAACTCAGATTCTGCAATTACCTCAGACATGCTGGATTATCGTAAGGCATGTATCAATTCATGTGTAAAATGCATAGTACATATTTCTAGGAGATAATGATGCTTTAAAAACAAACACAGTCACCATTGTCACACCTACAAAATCAACACTAATTTGCTAACATAAAATATCTAGTTGGTGTCTGAAGTACTTCAGTGGCCTCATGAATTGCCTTACTTTGTTTGTTCATTTGTTTGTGTTACGAACTAAAGCATTGAGAAGACGTCCCCTGGCTTGTGGTTTATATTGAGAGCCTGCTATTAGTCACAAAACCAATGGCTGCAACTGTTGTACTAGAGGCTTCAGGCAGCTGGTGAAGGCATACTCCTTCCAAGCAAATCCTGGCAAGGAAGTCCATTCAGGCTTCTGAAACAGAAAGCGCAAGAAACTGAGCCAAACAAATGCATCCTAAAAGAACAATGAAATGATTTAGTGCCTGGTTTAAAAGCAAGTCCTGGAGCCCCTACTAGGGAGGACGCTGCATCAAATAGCAGCTTTCTGTTTAGGAAGACTAAATTCCTGAAGTCTTGAGTGGATATCTCTTATCCTGGATGAAATGATACTTACTTTACAACCACAGACATGTCAGTCTCTTTATATGTGACATAGGGACCAATATGACTAGACTTACCTATATCATAGGAATGAAATCCCAGGAGGAGATAGGTCAAAATGTCACATGAACACAAGCCAGTGATGGGCTTCTGTAGTTCAGTTTTACAGGTCACTGGTTGAAACCCAACCCCATCATACACTCAACAAACAGATATTGGCTTAGAGTAGCAGTTAGCCAGCTAAGCTTGCTCTGAAGACTGCCAAAGTTGAAACCTCAGCTTCTTTTCCTGTGGGTCAAGGGGGCTGTGAGCCTGATGCTGTGTATTTGGTGGCCTACGGTCACCAGAGACTTGGTATTCATGGACAAGGTTATTTGGATCTGTGTGTGTGTGTGTGTGTGTGTGTGTGTGTGTGTGTGTGTTGGCAGGTTATTTGTTAAGAACAGATTTTAAAGACTGTTTGTGTGGGTTTTGATCTTTATTTTGCTTTTTAATACCACTACTATTTAATAGTATTTAATAATACTACTGCTATTCACGTTAGAAAGCATTTTCCCAGGAGCCAGTGCACAAGACTTTAAGAGCATCTAACATAGTGATTCTACTTTATTAGTTATGACTTAATTTCCTTCTGACTTTTTTTGGTACATTCATCCATCCATTCATTAACCCCCCTTCTCTTTTCATTTTCAGTTTGGGCTTCCTGTAGACGCGCTCTTTCCTGTGCAACAGAGCTGGGCCTCCCTCTCTTTATTTCCCCCTTAACATACTTAGGGGGCATACACCCCATGCCTTCCCCTTTTCTTCCTTTGAATGTTTATAGACGCCTGAGAGTCAAATGATGTTATCTGGCCCCTGACCAAGAAGCCAGCAATCACATGGCTTGGAGATACATTCCATACCTCAGTCCCTCTCCTAGTACCCTCAGCCATATGCACCCCCACTTCCCCAATCCGTCTTTGCCAGACTCAGGTGTTTACGAGTTGCTGTTTGCCACGTTTTATGTACCAACTTCCCCATTGGAATTCGACTGATACTTGATTCCTTGAAGTATTTCCATCCACCGTGACTGGATAAGCAACAGTCAGTGGTCAGAACTGTCGCCTTAGACTCCTGCATCCTAGTCACTGGGATCGTTCTCCCACTCCTCTAATGCCAGGAGCCGTAGCCCCTATCATAGGTTCTAAAAGAATTGCAGGTGAAGCCTATTTCTTCTACCATCTTAGCCCAGTCCTTTCTCGATTCCCTTTACTCGGAGTCAGTTTACACAAGCTGTGTTAAAAGTCAGCCACACATTTATTTACACCAAGCCTTTCCTAAACAAAATACAATTGCTGGGGCAGATAGTGTATACTCCCCCTCTCTAATTCTGGGTACTCCATAGATACTAAAGGGAAAATAAACCAGAATGTTATTACCAGCCTAGAGTCTTGATTGATAGACTTCTAGAATTCTCCTTGGGGGTTTCATTATGCCATCGATCATTTCTTTCCATCCCAATGAGGTGGTATAGCAAGAAAAATAATCCCAGTTTGTAAACTGGTGAGCTGATCAAAGAATCTAGGTTTAGGGTTGCCTAGATGATTATTCTAATCTCCCTGATGAATGTAATGGTAGGTTGAATCTGCATTTGCACACACGCCACTTAAAAGAGGAGAGACCATTAGCTGGAAGGAAGTAAAGAAGCACTGTCACTTGAAAGGTCATTTACTTTGGTCTAAGGATTTGATATTTTAAAAATCTGGTAGTCGTAAGTTTTATAATGGGTCCCACCTGATTGTGGCTTTTGGAAACCCTTTGAAGTACAGAGCCTTCCACCCCGGGGCCATGAGGCAGAGTATGGCTTTTGGTGTTTGGCTAGTGACAGAGCAACAGCTAGAGGCGACCTGGCAATGATCTGTGGCTAATATGGCGTCTCTCTGCCCTTCCTTTGCAGTAATCCATGGCTGTGTACTGAATAGTATGCCCCGCTACAGCTGGACTGGACTCCACTTAGCCTTTTAAGCGAAAGTTCTTATTTTAACTGATATGTTTTGTTTTTTGTTTTTTTTTTTAATGGTGCCAGACATCTGGACCCTCCACCCCTGCTCTGGTACTTCAAGCATTTTGGTTTTGGTTTTTTATTTGTTTGTTTGTTTTGAGTTCTGCAACTTGCTTCTGCCTCCCAGTCCTACTGGCATGGACCTAGACCTTCTCTTTTCTTGTTATAAAGGTGGTTGTATAATCACTACCTCTAAAAAAAAAACGCAAGGTGATAATAAATGTGCAGGCCCTCTGAACTGTTACAAAAGTGCGGGGGCCATTGTCTACAATCATAGTTAATAACGTGAACCTAAGACTAAGCCCAAAGCAGAACTAGTTAAAAGCAAGCAAGTCAATGTGCACACTTTCTCTTTTCTTGTTGGCAAAGAGAGAAGGCAGTTTTGATGTGTACTGGCCAGTGGCCAGAGGCAAGTACCAGGTGACAAAGTGAAAGCTAGTCCTTGGGGAAAACCAACTGGAAGTGGAGAATTCCAGGAAACCCTGTGCCTAGAGGCAAAACAAAACAAACCCAGCCACCACTGAGAACAGAAAGCCCTAAAGCAGAGTCTCCAAGTATCTCAGATACTATCAGTAGTCAGGAGAGTCAGGAGAGTCAGGCTACTGAGTTAAGGCTGTCTGGGTCTCCCTGAGAACAGCCCCTTATGTGTAGCCATGGAGTTTGTTTTTAAAACAGGTTCTTCATATGTAGCCCTGGCTGGCCTGGAAATCACAATCTAGAGGAGGCTGGCCTGAAATTCACAGAGATTTGCCTGCCCGTATTTCCTGTGTGCTGGGGTTAAAGGCAAATGCCACCACACCCAGCTGCCTTGAGGGTTTTAATCCACCTTCCCAGCCTGCCTGCCAGCCAGAAAGTATCATCTTCCTTAAGAAGTACTTGTATTTTTAAATGAGGCCTTTCATTTGCATTTGTATATAAACTCAGTACTTGAGACTGGAGGATCTCAAAATACTTCACGAGTATTTGAGCTACACAACCTTCCAAAAGTAAGCAGAAACTATATAAATCGAGGAGCTTTTTGATCAGCATGGCTGATATCCCCCCCCACCCCATGCTGTTGGAGGATAGTGACGCGTAGAGAAATGAAGGGGCTCTTCCACGGTCCCACTGCTATTCCTGGACAAAGCTCAAGCAAAAATTTCAATTTACTGTCTCGGGGTTCCCAATCCTTTTCACCAAGGGATCCAAGTATTTATGCATCTTCCTGGAGACAAAAAAAATTTTTTTGATGTTCTGAGAAACCACTGTTAGATGACTCAGAGGGTTTTCACATAGAAAAATAGGATGGAGTGGGTAGGCAGAGGTGAAGAGAAGGCTCCACGCCAGCTGCCATGATGCTGGATGATCAGTTAGCTCTAAGTCTGTAAGTCTTACAGATAGATGACCAGTTCCTGTGGCTGTAAGTCTGTAAGTCTTACAGACTATCAAATCCTGTAAGTCTGGACCAGGACCAGGCCAGTGTACATTTTACTGGTGCACTATGTAATTAGGGAACTCAGGTGGATATAAAAAGCAATCAAACTTATTAAAAGATGATGCTAAATTTCATTGAGAAGTTCTTCTCACTGTAAATGGAAAAAACTTTTGTTTTTACTTCACTTGAAAGTCTTTAATTAGTACAATTGTTACTATTTTAAAAAATACTCTAAGTTCCCTGTTTACTTCTAGTGAAACAAAAACCACTCATTAGAAATGGTCTGTGCCTTTCCAGACTGGAATGGAATGGCTTCCTGAAATACAAACACACACACATACACACCCTTCATTTCTCCTAAGCCAAGAAGTCTGCTTTCTCCACCTGGTTTGGATTTTTTTTTAATCATTTGGCATTCACATTTGGCTGTTAATATGTGCTTATTTTTAAATTAAAGCAAGATGCAATTAAACTGGTGTGTGGTGTTCTTCAAACCTTCTCTACAGATTCCCCCATGGTGACAGCCCATCGTGACCTGTTCCTGTCTTCTCAGCAGTTAATCTGTGCTATCTTCCACTGTCTACTCCCCTTGGATGTCACTTTGAATGTCTTTTCTCTTTGGCTAATTTCATGTTTTCTCTCTCTTTCTCTCTCCTTCTCCAGCTTTTTTTAACCTTGTCTTCAGCAGCTGTACTAAGTCTAAAGGAGAAGACTGCCATTATAGAAGAGTTAGTTAGGGCTCCATACTGTCTCAAGCAAGAAACCAACCAGTCCCCCTCCCCTGCAACTACACACATAGACACCACACTCAACAAGTGTACATGTGTCCGAGGCAAGAAGCTCTCTTCTGATTTACATGGTGTTTCACATGGAATTGTCTTGTACTAAACTCACAAGGCAGGAAAAGAATCATCAGAGCTGGAAATGGACCAAACGTAACCTCAGAGAGACAACAACAGGACCATTCACCCAGGTGTTAAGTGACTGTGGCAGACCTCAGCTGTGGGTGTGGAAATGCTGTTCATGAGGTTTTGGGAATGTTCTGTAACAATTCTCTGGTGCAATGGGTTGACTGTCTTCAGACACTATTAAGCTGATTCTGACTATGGGAGAGAAAGTTGAGTGACATTTGCATCTTCAGCATTCACAGACTTTCTGCAGACCCCAGCAAAGGGGGAGAAATGGAACAATTACTCCAATTGGAACAAAAAGGGGGAGACTGGAACAATTTCTCTATTCAGCTGGAGAAAGACAAGAGGGGGGCTTAAGCTTAGTTGAGAACAAAGTTTCTCCACACAAACTTCCAAGGGGCTTTGCAGGTTTCGCAAGAGGTTTCTGCTTAACTTGGTATCTTGAAGGAGAGCTTTGATGGTGGTAAATCTGCCTCGAACTCATTGGCTTTACTTACTCTCTGAATACCATGTGAATGTGCTCATTCCTAACTGTCCATACCACAAACACCAACATTCTGCTGTCTCGTCTCTTGAGAGAGCCTCTTTGCATGTTTTCCAGAATCTGTTTGTTTTTCCTTTCTTCTCTGTGGTTCTTTTTGCCCAAATCTGTGATCAGTCACTGCCCCTCTGGGGCTTTCATTCTTCAGAAGATATATCCCGGAACCAGCACTGTTTAGCTCATTATCTTTCTAATGTCCATGTCAATTTTCAATAAAATTCGAAGAAATGCTCGGTGGTTCTATGATCTGCTCCCATCAGTTGGTGGTGTGGGTTGCTACAATTTGCTTTAGGAATGGGTAGCTACCTCCCAAGTGGATAAATTGGGAGGCTCAGAGAGATACCAGGAGCCCGATAAGTCTTCCTCAGTGGACTGTCATGCCCCCTCCTGCTGCCTTTTCCCAATCTGTTCCTGAAATTCCCGTGGGATAGGGTGGGCGTTAGCAGGCAGTCGTTTGTTTCTATTTAATTAGCACGGGTTGAACTAATCAAATGAACAGAGTATTCGACAGTAGAAGGAGGGTGAAGACAGAAAATGGCATTCCACAGAACAAAAACAAAAACAGCTCAGTGCTACTTATTTATTTCTGTGATTTCATTTTCAGTAGTAAAAGCAATAAAATCCAAACATTTTCCCAATGTCATGAGTTGAAAGGCATTCTGTAGATACTAAGCCTTGAGTCTCTCAGGGATACCTCCCATCCTCCAGGGCATTAAGGTAGACAAAAAGAAGAGTGGTCAGTTTTCAGAAATCTGGTTCTGAGTGAATTGGAGCTTGCTTCCCTTAGCTTCATTTGCCTAATGACCAAATGATGAAAAAAGGACCAATGAGTCTTCTCTCTGGAAAACCTGGAAGCCTCTGCTTGGATACCGGAGCAAATAAAATTGATCAGCCTCTACTCAGGTCACACACTAGGGGGCAGCAGAGTAAGACTATACTCGCTTATGAAGTCTCTGAACACTCATCCTGTGAAGGTGTGGGAAAATACAAGAATATTTGGAATACAGGAATGTTGGAATAGTGGGAAAATTGTGTTAAGAAAACCTATAGGTGGCCTGGTAATACAGTAAGGCACCTGTTGCCAAGCCCAACTATTTGAGTTCGAACCCTGGGATCCACATGGGAACTGATTCCTTGCTTGTTCTCTGATCTCCCCACATGTGCCCTGGCACTTCACCCCTATATGCACTCCACCCTCACAACCCCCCAAAACAAAGAAAAGAAAAAAAGAACACATCAAATACTGAGTTCAAAGCACTGGGGTTCCATTTTCAGTGGTAAAAGCAATAAAATCCAAAACCAGGGATTGTGTCAAATTCTTATAATCTCAGCATTCAGAAAGCATCAGAAGAGGATGTCTTGTCTGACCAAACAAGGTAAGTCCAATATCAGCCTGGGTTACATATCCAGATCCTGTCTCAGTAAACCCGGGGGGTTGGGGATTGGGCTTCTCAAGAAAAGAAGAATACCAACAAATCCTTCACAGAATTTCACTGAAAACAACAAACAAAAAGGATCGGGGTATTAGGGCCAGCAAGATGGCTCAGCAGGAAAAAGGACCTGCCGCCAAGCTTAATGACCTGGGTTTGATCCCTGGAACTCATGTGGTGGAAGAAGAGAACTGACTCACGCAAGATGTGCTCTGAGTTTAAGTCATGTGCATGGTGTGTGCAAATGTAGGTGCAAACTTGCTAAATAAATTTTTAAAAAATTAAAGAACCATGGATAGAACTGGAGAGGTGAGATATAGGTTAAGAGCACTTGCTGTTTTGCTGAGGATGGAGTTTATAGCACACAAGCAGGGGCAGGTTTTCACAACTGCCCCTTGCAACTCCACATCCATGGAGTCTCCTCCCTCTTCTGGCCTCTGAAGCTGCAGAATTCACAAGCATATACCCACACAGAGAGAGATCCACATACACACGATTTAAGTAAATCTTAAAACAACGTTCACTAAACGCGGTGCCTTGGTCTGGATACCTCCCATTGAGAACGATCTCAGTTTTTCACTACTGCTTGCCTTGTTTGGCATTGGCTTTAGAATGTCCTTGCCCTCATGGAGTAAGGATGTAGTTCAGTTGGTAGAATTCTTGCCTGGCACTTACAGCCATGGGTTCAATCCTCTGCTCAAAATAGGACCAGATGTGGTGGCTCATTCCTGTAATAGAACACTGAGGAGATAGAGACAAAAGTGTCAGGAGTTCAAGGCCAACCTTGCCCACTGTGTAATGTTCTATGCCAACTTACATTATGAGTAATACGGACATTCTTTTCTATAACCACAGTTGTCAACTTTGGTGACTGACTGACAATATTATTAGACCATTTTAATCTACTGAAGAATTTTCTTTACATAATTTTCCCTAAAATGCAGTATTTAGTCTAAAGTCATAATTTTGCCTTGTCCTTTAAATCTCCTTTAATTTGGAACAGAATTTCTTTGCTTTTTATGACACTGATATTTTTCTAGTGTTTTATTTTAAAGTTGGGGGGGCAGTGCCATGGAAGTCAGAAGAGAGTGTTTGAACCCTTGGAACTGGAGTTAGAGTAGGTTTAAGTGTGCTAGGAATTGAACTCTGATCCTCTTGGAGAATGATATGCATTTTTTTTTTGAGAGAGAGAGAGTTTCTCTGTGTAGTTCTGGGCTGTCCTGGAACTGACTCTGTAGACCAGGTTGGCCTCGAACTCAGAAATCCTCCTGCCTCTGCCTCCCAAGTGCTGGGATTAAAGGCGTGCACCACCACCGCCCAGCTGTTTTTGTTTTAAGATCCAGGATGTGGGCTGTCAAGATAGCTCATTCGTCAGAAGTGCTTGTACATAGTCCTAAGAACCTGAATTCGCTTCTCAGATCTTAAAAGGTATCAGGAGCAAACCAAGTGCTGAGAGTAGTCTTCTGATTCTCATAAATGCATCATAACACACATGCGCCCACACATGCAATAACTCAGTAATTCATTTTAGTTTGGATCAAGGCACTACCTCATTCCTCCACTACATAATTGCTAGGCTTGTTCACCCCTCTTCCATCAATGATCTTGTTACTAAAACCCCATGTAGAGAAACTATAAATCCCCAAATACACCTTGCTCCTTGTCAAAAACCTCCTAGATTTGGCATCTGTTGATAGCATTTGCCTGAATGGATCTACAAAACAATTTTCAATTCCAGCTCTCCATCCACCACTGTCAGTTAGTGCACAGTTATTGCACAAGGAGTACAAGGCTTTTCTTCCATCTCACTTATCCACTTAGCATCCCTGTGAATTTATGGCTTTATACAGTAAATGTGCTTGTACAGGTAGAGTTAGTTTGGGATTTAATTATTTTAATAACTTCCAAACTTAGCGTACAGAGTGATAGGCTTCATTATGACATTTTCAAGAATCCAAGTCATTATACTTTGTTTTTATTTGTTCCCCTACCCGCAACCATCCTACACACACACACACACACACACACACACACACACACACACCTTGTTTTCCTCCTGTTGGTTTTCTTCCTCCCCAAGTCCTCTTCTTTCAACTTTCAAGTCTTACTTAATCCATTTTCCATTCTTTTTCTCTTTTTCTTCCTTCTTTTGCCCCTCCCTTGTGAATTTTTCCCCTCCCTTCTCATGTTCCTCTCTGGATTTTCACCACACCACCTCTCTCTCTCTCTCTCTCTCTCTCTCTCTCTCTCTCTCTCTCTCTC